CGTCGTGGTATTTTGTGGAATCTGATTCACTGATGGAAACCATTCAAAACACCCACCTCCCGCAACTATAGATATCTCCAACGCTCTCCCACCTCCAGGAAGCGCTGATGGAAAAGCTGCCCAAAAGATGAGCAAATGGCTGTCTTCAAAGGAAAAAAACCCAAAAACCTTCGCACAGAAGGTAAAGCCCAGGAGCTGCCGGTGCCGTCCCAGCACCGCACGGTGCTTCCCCTCGAAGCACAACCAGCAAAACCTCCCCGGACCCACGCGGGACCCAGGAGACCCTCACATGGCTGCCATCTCCATGTCAAGGTCTCCCTGCTTTGAGCACCAAGCGCAGGAACCCACGGACCCCGCCCCCAGCAAGTGCTTGAAGCATTTGCATTCAATTCTAAAAATAAAATTATTTTCCTCCAGGCAGCAAAATAAAATGAAATCCTACACTTGTACAGCAGAGAAGCTGAGACAGAAACCCTGCGAGGTGAGACGGTGGTAGCGGAGCTGGAAGGTCCCACCACCCCCAGTGTAACGCTGTGGAGGAGGCTGGAGGTCCGTCCAAGCCCACCGACCCCCGGCGAGCGCAGGATGAGTGCAGGGCTGCAGACCCACGGCCCTCCCAGCCCACCAGCCAGTCCCGCACATGGCGCTGGTCAGGACCCACGGCTGCAGTTTAATAAAGAAAGATAGAGTATGGAAGAAGAGTAAGGAGGTTAATGGAAGAGGAGGCATAAAATAAAATATCAGAGAGACCAGAGAGTAAGGAGGAGGGGGCAAAGCAAGCTCACAGGAGGTGGTTTTCAACCTCTGGTTGCATATTTCTCTGGGCACTTACGAAGGATTGGGGCTAAGAAAGTCAGAAAAGCAAGTCTGCTGTCCGCCAGCGATCGAACACCGCATTTGCTACCCTCGCTCCGCTGGAGAGACACTGGGAATCCGTCAGAAAAGCTTAACAGGGGTCCGGAGCAGCTCAGGGAAAGGGGGACGGCGGGGCTGGGAGGAACCCGGAGCAGGGTATCGGAGCGTGATGTGCAGCCAGCCACAACCTGCCGCTCTCCCCCCCCGCGGCGGGGGCTCACCTGGTGCACGCAGACGTTGCACTTGTCGCAGAACACCATCTCGTTGCCGTCCTCTCCCTCCGGCGAGCGGCAGACGTCGCACACCACGTCCTCGTCGTACTCGATGCCCAAGCCCTCCTCCGTTTCGATGGCGATGTTCATGTTTTCGTAGCACATGGTCTCCAGCTCCTCCAGCACTCGTTCCAGGGTGATCTCATCCAGCTCGGGCTTTTCTGCAAGGCAGAAGGCAGAGGAGGACACTGATAGAGCTCCAGCGCGGGAGCCCACCCGCCTTCAGGGAGCGTTTTGCAAAGGGCTGAGCATTTTAGATTGCAACTCAAGAGGCAAATCCACGGCGATGGTAAGAGCGGCGATTCAGAAAAACGTCTGCTTCTAACTCAGGATGCAGTTTATTTTTCACAGACAGTAACAAAATATTGCTGCTGGCTGAGAGGAAAGAAACCCATTCAGCTGAAGCAATGCGGATAATTAGGTCTGACAGTTTAAATGTTCAAGGAGAGAACTTTTGCAAAGATGCTTTCTGCAGCGAAGGTTCAGACAAGCTTTGGCAACAGAAAGTCAATGCTTTAATTGTTAAGACTGAAAATTGACCCTTTTAAGGCCAATTAAACGGAACTGTAAAACTGAAGCCAAAGGCTGAAACTGAGGACAAATAAGTGTTTTTTCTCCTGGTTGGGTTTAGTGGAATCAGAAGGTCAGACACTGCCATGTCGTGTTTTATTCCCCCCGTACCAGGATCTTTAGTGGGAAGAAGTGGCAGAGGTGCTTTACCAGAGGTTCCTCCAGGGTGACAACCAGGAATACAAGGCCAATACCCAGGAGAGGCTGTTTCAGAGCAGCAACCTCCAGCAGCGGGATGCCCGGCCACTGTTACGGGGGGGGATGCTGCTGCCAGGAGCTCGGCAGCACCGAAACCCAAAAGTGCTGCCTCTCACCCACCCACAAAGATCCCAGTGCCACATATGCAACATGAGGTCACTCCAGGTAAGGAAAAAAAGAAGGAAAAAGTCTGTCAGCAGCAGGAGGGAGGTTCTCTGTGAGGGCTAAGAGGCAGAGTTAAGCCCCCATCGCTCCCTGTCTCCCCGTGAGCACTGCTTCATCACCGGGGAAGGCACAGAGATGCGGATGGAGATACCAGCAGGATGCAATAAAAACCATTTAATCTTTGCATTTCATTTGTGTGTATTATCTGTGATGATGGCCAGGATGCTCCAGAAAGCACCAGACAGCGGAGGAGCACTGCTGTCCACCTTTCTTGTTGCAAGGCAATGGAAGAAAATATTTCATGTATGAGCAGAGAAGGGGAAAAAAAGGCTTGAGGAAGTACTAATACGAACCAGTTATTAATTAAATGTTCAGGGAGAAATCTGCCATCTCAGAAGCCACAGCGTGATGTCCCTGTCCTGGATGAGCTCTGGGGCCCTGAGAGGCCCCTGGGGCTGAGGGGGGGGACACACAAGGCTGGGGGGGTCCCGGGCAGCGCACCCAGCCCCTCCGGCTGGAGGATGCTGGCAGAGATTGCACCTTCCCCCGACGGCCAGGGACCAGCTGAAACAACTCTGTCAAGGGGGAAAGCAACCCGTAGGTGAGCTCGGTAAGCAAACACACCATTGTCTGCTTTTTTAAGCTCAGTGTTTCGCGTTGGCACCGTTTCCCTTAGCTTGACAAGTCTCTGCAAACATCTAGCCTGGCATTTTACATGTCTGTGTCTGAGATACCATCTAAGACAGACAACACTGTTCCCTATCACAGCCCTTTCAAGCGCTCGAGCTGCTGTGCCACAACACGCCGAGGAACCTGACAATACCTGTTTTATTAGCCAACAGCCCCGGCGAGGAGCGCGGGATCTCTGCAAAGCCCCGGGCTGGCACAGGCTGCGATGCGAAGCATCCTGGTGCTGGCACGGCGGCACAGCGAGCCCCACGCGCCGGAGCCAGGACGGAGCTGCCGGCTCGCTCTTGGCATCGTGCCGGTCGGATGCAACAGGGCAGGGAGTGGGTTACAAAGGCAGAGCCTTATTTTTGCCTTGATGGTGACCCTTTATAAACACACCACCCCAGCCGCACTTGCTCTGCGGAGAGCCGCAAGCCATGACTTTACGTAAGCATCGAAGAAGCCCAGTAAGAACGTATTGCTCCTGGTCAGTGTTTCAGGTCTGCATCTGTGACTTACGGTCCCAGGCACCGGCGTGTCAGCCTGGAGTTACGCCCTTTCTCCCAACATTTCAGGCTCTGCTCTCTTTGCTCTTCTGGAAAACAAAATGATCGTTAAAGTGTTCCCGGTGCTTTTCCCTGCACATTTTCTAGAGCCGCCCCGTGCTCAGAGAGGGCAGGCAGAGAGCCGGCAGCTGCAGGCAGCGTGAGGAAGGAAAGGGAGTGGGGTTTCCACAGGAATCATGACCTTGACCTGCCCGCAGGGTCGGGATCGCGCTGGCATCACCGGGATCGTGCTGGCATCGCCACCGTTCCCATTTCACCTTGAGTGGAAAGAAGCGACTCCCATCCCACCTCCTGCACTTTCCATCCACAGCGATGCCCCGGCATCATCAGCTTAACCCTGGGGAGAAAGTCCCCACTGATCCCAAAACTCCCGCGCCGGAGCATGAGCGGCTCCCCAGCGGGGTTGCCTCATCAGCCTACATGCAATGTAGTTGTTATACCGTTACGGCGAAAAATATAGATCTCTCCCTCCCGCACGCACACACACGCGTGCGCTCTCACACTCCATTTAGATGTAATTACATTAGGAATTCGTTTGCCAAGCGCCATTCAGAATACCTCGGAGCTTATTGAATTGACAATTGCACTTGATGGGGATGAAGCGATTAATCGCTTATGAAACACTAAACAATGGGGCCTGGGGGTGAAGTGCTTTTTCCATTTGTGCTCCATTTATCTCCTTCTGCATCATATAAAGTTTGTGCTATTAAACTCCATTCATAAAATTGTCATCTTTTTGGCTGCGAAAATGTTATCTGTATTGATTGCGGCCAGCTAAATAGCAAAACCAAAAAAATACTCCACCAAAACACTCCTGGCATGCATGTACCAGTGACACCGGTACTGTCCCCGGGGAAGCAAAAGCAAAGACCCAGGTACTGATCTTGGCTACAATGAGTAAATCCAGCAACATCCAGGGAGTAAGTCACACTTGAGAGCATCACCGGGACTGTGCACTCTACCTGCTGACCAAGAGAAAGGTATTTTTACCTAGTTAAGGTACGACAGGGTCTTGTATGAAAGGTGGGGTGAAAACGAAGCTTTTCTGAGCCTCTGCGGAGAAGGGCAGCGTAGCTGCGAACTTCTCGATAATTTCTGTCTGGAGAGGTGGAGCCAGAAGTGAGAATTTAATCTCACACCAATATAATCACCAGTGATTTGGAGCCATGTTCAAAACACTGATACAGGAGTAAAAGGCTCCACGTCCCATCACGCTCCCAGGAGTCCACCCGTATCCTCTCCCCACTAACACCGAGTGCGTTAACGATGATGGGTTTTGATGTGGCCACCCGGGGACACCCCTGACATCACCCTGCACTGAAGGACTGTCACCCAGGGACCGCTGGCTCCCACCACGTCCCAGCTGGAGAAAAGTTGTCCTCTCCCGTCCCAGAGCAGGATGCCGGTGGGCAGCACGTACCCAGCCAAAGGAAGCATCCCCCGGAGGAGAAGGGGGACTTTGCTTCAGAAGTGGAGGAGGAGAAGAGGTGCCAGATGATGCTGCACTACAGGAGGTCTCCAGATCTGGTTCAGGAAGGGAAAACGTGTAGGAACCCGGCCTTTCGTTTGAACCTTGCTCCCAGCAGAAAACTCTTCCCCGTATCTCCGCTGTCGGGGTCTGCCATGATCCCTACAGCCCCACAGCCGCCCAGCCCACACCGCAGCTGAAACACAGAATTTAAATATTTTATCCCCAAGGAGCTGGGATCGCTGGGCTGGCACCGAAGCCACAGCACCGGGTCTGGGAGAACCACCAGGCACATTCCTTTACACACCGCCACTCTCCGTTATAATTATTTCTGTAATATCATAATTTATGTGGCATGAAGGAGCAATATTCCTCTGCTAAATGAATTCTCAGCTACTCCTTATCGTGGTGTGAGCCGACTCACTGTGTGAGGAGAAAAAAAAAACAGCTGGAAAACCACCTTTCACAAAACGGAGACCTATTTCTGACTAAATTGTGCTCCACTAAAATCAATTTACTGAAACAATAAATCCTTTTACCCTGTGGAGGATACCTGGAGATAAAACAGCTCATGAACAAACAGTCATCAGGACTGCAGGCTGTGCCATTAGCTGATTCACAAGCTATAAACCTTGAAGTCTACTTTTCAGTAAAAATATATATAAACAAGCAAAATTACTGGGTTTTAATAAAAATAAAAAAAAAGGAAAGCACTTCTGAGATGATGTAGGTTTGTCTCCTAGCACCTTTGAAAAACTGAGAGTGAAAGGATGCCAGGTCCCTGATGGGATAGGGGTGTGCAGATACGGCGCAGGGACCACGGGTTCCTGAGGTCTCCTTCCCGCTCGCTGTCCCTCCAGCTCGCCCGGGACGAGTCACTTCAAACCTGCCTGCTTCAGCTTCTGCCTCCGCAAAGCCGTGCTGAGCATCCTCCCCCCCTCGGAGGCCGGGAGAATGAAAGCAATCCGAAAAAACCTCACTGGCTAGATGTTAAAACTGAGGTTAGGCACTGCTGTGCAGGAGGATGCTTTGAGAGAAGAGTATTTGCCTCCGAATACTGCCAGGAGCTGAGCACCCACGCACTCAAGGCACCCATGGGGCCACCAGCCAGCCCTGCCCTGGGCTGGGTGCTCCCCTGGGCATCCCGGGTCCCGTCCCAAGCATCCTTTCCAAACGTCAGGGGATGACAGACAACCACCCCAACACCACACCAGACCACCTGGGACTCCCCCAGCCACCTCTAACCCATCCCGGTGGGCACGCGATGCTTGGGAGCCGCAGCAATCGTACATTAATATTTTATCAACGTTATTTATAAACAAACCCTTAGCGTAAAGCGTGACCGACAAAACAAACAGCGACACGTAAGCGGCGCGAGCTGAGCATCCACGGTGAAACTTCTAGATATTTTGTTACAAACACAGCCTGCTAATGCACTTAAAGGATTTACAGGAACCAATTATCACCCTTTCTGCCACCCACCGACATCAATTATTGCTCAAATTTAAGACGATGACAAAATGTT